TATATATATATATATATATATATATATATATATATATATATATATATATATATATATATATACATATATATATATAATGCCTTAGAATTAATATTATTATATCATAATCTCGAATTTTAAAGTATCTTCTCGAATTATCATTTGAATTCAGTATTATTAGACTAGATATGTCCAGCTGCATGCTCGCACATGTGCACCGTGGTCATCTGGATTGCCTGGAGGGCTAGCTGCTCTCAGTTTAGCCATGGCTTTGTGGACTAGCACTAAACAGCGCTGGCATGGTGCATGCGACGCACTCATCATGTTTCAAAACATCGATAATAGCAGCCAGTCCTGCGCTAATAGAAATTGCTTCTGACGAAATATATGTATTCGACCTTTTCCTATGATCAAATGATGATATCAGTAGTGTCATAATATAGACATGACACATATAGACTATATTACGACACTCCCGATGACATGACCAGATGTATGTTATTGTAGGTGTTCGATAAATGTTAGTGCATGTTTGTATTTTTATTGTTATTTTTACTACTGACAATGTTGTTTTATGTCCTCCGCTATAAGCCGACCACTTTTCGTTTATTTGAAAAGAGTTTTTGATTACTCGTTTTACCTCCGCCCTTGCAGCTCTTGTCCACTCTGTACTGATACACATTGAGTGTGAACAGCATGTGAGAATTCCTGCCCTCGTCTTCTGTGTCTGAAAACAAATGGATGTCCAATATAATCTTACTATAAAACCAACAATTGTACATAATTTAGTAGCATGAAGTAATTGGATTATTCGCGACAAATGAATTCAATTCACGCCGACTCTGGTAAAGGCCAACAACTACAACAAATCGTAACTACTGCAATGCTTTCCCAGCACGGCTATAAAATGCTTACATACTCAGCTCTCACACATTTATTACAGCTAACACTTCTACTCAATTCGGCAATACGATGACTCAGCACGATAAATATATTCAACCAGAATTTTTTTTATGCCAACCTCGAATTGCTTTCTCAGTAATAAGAATACAACACTACGGATAATTTATTACTACAGGCAACAATATTTTAGCTACAAATACCCTTAATGAATTAGTGACTATTAGGAAGACGCCTAATTAATTATATGTGCTACGAGTTGGTTAGATCGAAGTATGTTCACGTTTCAATGTAGGCCTATATATTCACGTCGTCATCTATTTTTTTATAAACCTATATATACTACTTATATAATACCTATATTATATAACCTATATAAAACCTATATAACCTAAATATATACGGCTTAATTGCTGCGTTTACCTTTTGCTCTGGCTGCTAGCGCAGCGTCGACATAGTAGTTCGCCTTCTCTGCTGTGGGAGCGCGTAATTCACTCTGATTCTGCAGCTGAGTGCCACACAGTGGATCCTCTCTCAGGTACATACCGGGAGACACGCCGCTACTGTTTTCTGATAAGCCTATAATGTGACAACGCAATATGTGATCATGATTGATCGTCACAGTCCAAGATGTCGCACATTAACTGGCCAATGAGTACATAGTGGCATATTATGGCTACATTAGCGCCGATTGCATTCAACTACACGTGTAAATGTGAGAAGCTTGTGTTCGTGTTTTCATAAAATGACATTACGCTGAGACAGACAGAGTTTTCAATTCATACACAATTGAACACTTCCTCAACTTTATGATAAGATGAACAGAGTCATTTGTCGAATTTGCACGCCAGATAATTCTATCAATATCCTTACGACGGATTACCGAATCACACACAGCTAGGCAGCATGGCCATAATTGATTCTATTTCTGTCCGGACTCCTACATCCTAGCTAAACCATCAATCTCGAGTAGATGTCAGTGCAATACTACTAATACTGCGTGTTAGCATAATTCGTTGCGCTATCGCTTTTCCACAACACCGCAAGCACGAGTGAAACCCCATATATGAGTGGAAACAGAACGCCAATCTCTTACCATTTCGGGCAATGTGTATTTTGGTAAGCTCGAACCAAAAACTAGCTACAAGTTCCTGAGAGATTTTCTAGGATGTGTTCATTGTAAACAAGCGCGAATCGAATGGCAAACAATGTCGGGTTACTCGTGCGTGCGTGTGGCCTTTCACTGCAGGCAATAGCTACACTAAACCTGGTACTCTGCTGCAGCAGAGCTGTAACTGGCTTCTGCGCACGAGTCAGAGGTTAATCGCTGTGGGACAAACACTAGGAGTCTGCGATGGGGATGTTGCGCGGACTTCTGGCCCAGAAGAGCAGCACGCGCGCCTAGAGAGCCAGGTGCTGTGTGCATCTTCCAGAAGCTGGCTCTTTGCTGAATTTTACCCCGGTCAGACAGGAAGCACATGCCACAACAATAATCTCATTAGCTTTACTCGCAGGCAACCTCCCTCCACGCGCGCCGGTTGAGAGCAGTAAAACTTCTATATATAACCCGCATCGTGAATCAAAAGTCGCTTCTTTAGCGTAAATTCTTGAAACTGAAGAATGCGCGTTAGAACAGCGATTTCGATCAAATTATGTCAGAAGATGGGGGTTTGCATGTTCGCACTGATTTTAGCTTTCTATCTACACGCAATCTATTGTTACTAACATCGCACGTATCATTATACATGTATATATGTAACCAACAACATGACTACGTGCATAGGTGAATACCACAATTATTGGTCGTTAGGAAAAAGAGCAGATCCCAAATTACATTTGACTAAACAGAGACAAAACAATGATAACTACGTCAGTAACTTTTCTTGGAAGTTAACTCTCTAATAACATTCACACAAGTATAATATCATGAATTGTCATGATAAATATCTATAATGATGGCACTCCTGATAATATCAGATGAAAGAAGGAAAGACCTATCATACATTTGATCCAAAATACAACGCAGTTATAGGCCTGCTTGTTGACAGAATACGGGAAAATTGATTACCCAGAGTAAGTTAATTGCATTTTGATGAAAATCTTGGTTTATTTATTAAGGGCAACTAGCACTGATGAAACCCGTACACTCTTATCTGCTAGCTAATTGCATTGTTTCGTGCTGGCGGGACAACAAAATCGACTGTAAGTGGACTGTACTAGCACTACTAAATGCTGAACTATATCGGTGCTATATATGTATGAATATGATGTACTATAGAAATATGATGTGCTAATATATGATGTATAATATATTTGAAACTATATAGACGATTATTGTGTCAACCATGTGCATATAATTGTCTTGTCCCGGATACACAACGTAGTACAAGCTACAATGTCACTCTTGCATGATGTAGAAATATTTCTTACAACGAGCTCCAGAATCGATCATATTTGCGCACTCTACCGAAACTAGAGAGCGTGCGTGCGTGCGTGCGTGCGTGCGTGCGTGTGTGCGTGCGTGTACGTGTGTTTACATGCGTGTGAGCAAATGCGCACTTCTACATGAAATCTCTACGTGAAAGTTAGATATCTTACTCGTAGCCTGCTCAGCCAACAGGTCGCTCAATGTCTCGTTGCGACCAGTCACCTCGACGGCGGACACTCGCACTGAGAACCTCGTTCCCAGCCTCTGCTTCTGTTCATTAATCAGCTTGAATAGCCAACTGATGGCGCAGGGAATGATGCCGAGGGTCTGCGGAGACTCGTCTCTGCCCACCATCGTGTACGTTTTACCTACAAGAAAATAAGAAGCGTTGACATTTCGGCAAAGTTCTCGGCGATAAACGATAGCCCTTATAGAGAGATAAACAAGGCAGCATGTAAAAGATCGGAATTTCGAGGCGAAAGTGACCACCGAGCATAACAGATCGATATATAAATCAATACGTGGTCACTACTGGCCGTGGGCTACAATCTATTTGGCACCACTTCATTACCAGTGACCCATCAGTAAGCATGACGAAATGTTATAGCGTACCCTGTTGTTATTACGAAACAATCCGCCAAATTGTAATGAGAATTCTCGGCAACTGCACACAACGCATTTATCAGATTGTGAATCCTGATTACCAGACAACGACCATCTTATTTTAAACCATGGAGAATTATTAATTTGCTAGTCCTCATGGAAAACCAGTGTGAAGATCTTTTACAAAATTCATAAAGCAGACATTATGTGCATGATGATTTTCGGCGATGAAACCAAATTGGCAGTCGAATGAGAACGGACATAAATTATCACTAGCGTTTTGCTGCGCACAACTATTCAGGAATGCCTCTGGTGTATGCTTAAATTTCAATAGGAGGAGTGCCCCTTCCGCATTAGGGTACCGATTACAAAGATTAAGCCGCCGCCCGTAAAAACTCAGCTCGGCTGACAATGGCCTTTGAAGCCATCGACCGATCGTTGACATCCTTAATTAATCCGCCTAATTAACACTTCGTGGAAGATTAGGGGGCGGCTCAGGCTTGATTGCTACCACGTCCAAGATGGTTCGATCAGGCGGCGTGTCAGCGGTAGCAGGGCAGGGAGACCCTCGCGTGATGTGTTGTTACGCAGCCGCGTGACTACCACCTTGCTTCTAAGTGCAAATTTTATAAGCAGCTCGATGAATATTCATGGCGTACGCCGCCGATGCATAACAAATAGCTTTACCGCGGAGGAGTAGAATACTGGAAATATATGTTCGGTCTGTCGCATCTCAAGCAATGTATGTATCGTGATGTGTAATGTCCGAAGCTAAACTGACAGCTAAGCGTCTATATGCCGATTTCGGCGATAAATGGGTTTTTATTATTGTGCTTAAACGTGAAAAATTAAGCCCTGTTTGAAAATGTTGAACAAAAATCATTCGCCTACTTAACGAACCTTTCATTCGTTATTTGACAGGTTTTGCGTTCTATCAAATCTTGCATGACATGAAGATCGACTGCTTAACTAATTAACCGAAGAGGAGCTCACTGCACGGCTGTTAATTAATTAGCCTCTTAAGAACACTTGGCCATCACTACTCGTGCAATTGATAAAGTCAGCCAGCTATATATGAAATAATATTTCCATTCTGTAAAATTACACTAAATTTCAAACAGTTTTACTTGCCATAATATAAATAGCATAATATTATAATAATATAATAAAGAAAAAAGATCTCACTGAAATATTCACGCAATTGTTAATGAGTACTACGGAACCCTCTAGATAGATAGATATTAATTAGTCTTTGAATTATACCTCCATCAATCATTAAACATCTGTGACACAATCAGCCATTTGGTAAAGACGTGTTTTTCTAGTCTGATAACATGGAATAAATGATGTAGTGATGATGTAAGTAGAACAGTGAAAATGTTCTAATAAAAATGCGACTATATACTATAGTCCTGGTCAGTACTCAACAAGCTGGCGGGTGGGCCGTCCAGAAAATTTGTCACACTCGTCTTACGACCTATTGTGCGCGGTGCTCAATGTGGGTGATAATAAATGTCAGTCATAGTTAGCCATCTGCCCCTCTGCAGCGTGAAACACACTTCTCTAATATCACAAGGGCTATCGAATCTCAGCTGTCCAGTGACGCAGATGAGTTCCATTCTTTGTATGCAACATCAAATTTTGGTATTCCTACATAAAGATATAGCCAGCACATGCTGGAAAACTTCTATTAGGGTCGAATAACTACACGTTCCTACACGTCTGCACCGCAACACTCGGCCATCACGGATGCCTTGAAGATTTGAATTCAGTTGAACTTGAAACAAGCATCCGACGTTGAGTAAGTTGGTTTGACTATTTCTTTTATATTCCTCTGCCAACCGAGTAATACAAACCTTCACATGAGACGTGAATCAACTAGCAACGCTGCAAGCCTCTACTGTAACCTAGCTGCCAGGTTATTCTTTAGTAGATACGAGCCATGCAAGTGCATTTACAACCAACCGCAAAGCACATCGCGCGTAAAATTGGCATTTTTATCAAATTACTTTGAGATTTTATAAATTATGTATTATATAATTTTCGGCTACCTTAAGCTCGTTGAATATGGCATTAGAAGCAAGCAATCGACAGATGCGCGCTGTGATTTTAAATGTCAAACTTCTTGCAGCAAACTAAGTGTGAAATGTTATGTAGATTAAACAATTTAGAGGCGCCGGTAAATAAATGTAAGTACTGGAAAATTATCGTAACATTTCCAGTATAAATTAGCCCACTTAATCATACAAAATGGGTTTCATAGCTACAACGTACCGTAACGCGTACAAGTTGATTTACCTGCCCAATATAGAAATTCTAATGAGAAAAGTCATGCGCAATCGTTACGGTGCCCCCTTTTTCGAACCTTTGTTGTTATCTAGTTGGATATGCCAAAAATTCGTGTTTATATTAGGCAATTCAGGAAACACAAGAAAGATAGTAAAGGGAATTCAATGATGCATGAGCTGTCGTTCGAAAAAGGGTCATTTATTCGTCGAATCGTCTATACGAAACATCCTCATAAGACAGTCAAGTTAGACGTTTGAAGCATTTGCCACCGACTTAGCTAGGGCTCCCTACATATGTAACCTTCCAAAACACCGACAAAATAAAGCTCTTGCAAACTCTAGGTATATCCACTGCAATAATCTATCGTAATTGTCGCAAAGAGTTACCATTTTTAAAGTTTTGCATCGGCAGCAGCGTCCTATTGATTTGTGGAGCTATAGAGTATCGAAAGATAATAATAATATAATCGACAGCGCTGCATAGCTGCGACTGCCCATTCATCTCTACGGTGGCTACAGTCAATGACTGGTCAATTGCACATGACATCTAAATATTCATGACGAGTTTGTAAGGGCTACTGAATAATTGAGTCTTCCCCACAGGCTCGCAGCTGTAACTATAGCTGTAGAGGATGAGATGGGATTGCTCACGCACACGGACACGCGCCCAGTAAGAGTAAGCTCGACAATTTTACCCAAAGGCTATATGGACAGATTTAAGTAACACAGTACGCGTATAGCAGCACAGTGGCTCTGGTCTTTTGGAATCGATCATATCAGTGAGTTTAGTTATTCAGTCAGGTTAAAGCACAAAACAGTAAAACATATTTACAGAACTTCCAGGTTTTAATACCGAGGACATTTTAAAAACAAGATTGTAACTTGTCGATTGATACATGCTTCCAGCAGAGAGTTGTGTCTACACGATGGATGGCTGGTATAAATAGGGGAAAGTTGTGCATCACTCACGATCATTGCTAATCGGATTTAGGAGATGTGGAGCAGATCTAGACACACGATTGTGTGGATAATTGGATGCCCGCCAACCAGCGTGCTGTGGCCGTCTGTACTTGATTTACTACTACTACTACATTTATGCCGTCAATACTTGCGGCTGCTCAATATGGACCGTAAAGAATATATTATAGAATCTATACCATCGCACTTTCACCGCCTTGTGCGCAGGCAAAAATCGGCATGTATATGTGAATACGCGAATAGGCCACGAGTACGCTTGTAGGCCAACATCGAGCATATAGCTGTCCTCGAATCAACGTATAAGTGCAGACGAGTAACAAGCAAATGCTTTTACACACTGCCAGGCCCATCTCGTAAACAGGCAACGCAAAGACATCAACCGCATTTTCAGCCGTGATAACAAAGTTGCTGCTGTCAAGGGGTTGGGCATAATGCGCAGAAATTGGATCAGAAAATTCTATATGTCGGCCTCCGCCCTCCGGGACGATAAACAGTGAAAGATGGCGGCATGACACGGCGGTGATGATGCATGCAGAGTAAATAATAATCAAATAAATAATGCATAAGTTAATTTGTGAAGAAATGTCCCGCCCATGTAACTAGCATGATGGAGAGCTAGTGGGCTGCAGTAATGAGGCATCGACACATATCGTGTATGTGGCTGTGTGTGCGTGCGTGCATGTGTATTTGGCTGTGTGTGTGTGTGTGTGTGTGTGTGTGTGTGTGTGTGTGCGTCCGTGCATGTGTATTTGGCTGTGTGTTTGTGTGCGTCCGTGGATGTGTATGTGTCTGTGTATGCGTGCGTGCGTGTATGTGTATGTGTATTTGGCTGTGTACGCGTGCGTGCGTGCGTGCATGTGTATTTGGCTGTGTATGCGTGCGTGCGTGCGTGCGTGCGTGCGGGCGTGCATTTGTATGTGGCTGTGTATGCGTGCTTGAGTGAATGTGTATGTGGCTGTGTATGCGTGCGTGCGTGTATGCGTACGTGCGTCTGTGTGCCCATCACGTATACATTCTACCCCATGCACGCTCGCACGCTATTCACTGGGATATGTGCAGAAAACGATCTAACGGAGGAGCGTTGAACGTTTCAGTACTAAAATATAACACGCTAGACACAACACGCTAACACGCACGTTAGATGAACGCGAACGAACTTTTCACGGCATTATAGTTCCCATGAATAAATGAAATCGCAAACTGCAAACGCCACGGGAAACATTGTAAGCGCGTAGACATGACCTACCTAGCCTGGCATGGCCGTAGCAGAACAGACAGCCATCGTAACCATTGACAACCGACTGGATAACGTCTGCTAACGAGCTGCTGCACATTTCACTCTGCGAACAGAAATAAAACACGATAATTACAACCCACCGTAACATAATATCTTCAGAGTTCGGTCACGGGCAGCAAGAGGTAGGAGTAAAAACACAAAAGACGGTTTATCATGAATTTTAAAATTTTAATAGTCAACCGACACACTTTTTACTCATGCAAATTTTAGATTAACACTCGGGCGTCTAATGGGACACGTCGATTTTACGGAATGGGGATTGGGAATGCTTGGGGAGTTTCTATGTAAATGTAGAGGCCCAGTCTACGCTGGAGCCAGCTCATTACGCGGGCATTCACTCTGCTAGTAAATTTATGCGGCTATTTGCATATAATTGGCAGCGCGATGTGTTATACATATATATATAATACGGGCTGATCAGGCCAAAGAGGATTCAGCGCGGAGATACGGCGTGGTAATTAAGGTCCACGCAGATCGCAAGTGTGCAAATGTTATGTGCATACGAATGCAGCAAAATCATCATCCGTCAGTTCATTTCACCAACTTACTGCGACATTGATGAGACACAAGAAAATCATTTGCATAGCCTTCCGAATAAGAATGAATCGGTTTTGAGCATGCAGCCAAATAATAAATAAACAAATAAATAAATAAATAAATAAATATATATATATCTACTATATTTGCTATCGACAATAGGATCTTAGAATTTACTAGTTGATGTTTCCAGAGAAATGGCGGGTGGGGGAAGACAGCGTGGTAATTTCACAAGGCTTCCAATCGAACCGCTCTATTAGTAATTTCTGGGAAATTGCCTAGCCTAAGGTTGCTGAAGTTAGCTTCACTCCTAAGCAACATCTTCCAACATTCCGATGTTCACATAATACAATAAACGCTAGTGAATCATAACGAATATATATCATAAACATCCGCATACAAAGGCTGGGTAATGTCATTACCACGCTTCTTCAGGATTTATTAATATTTCATGCAAAGTTATGACCCGCATGCAACCTATCCAGTAATTTAGGGGGATTATGGAATAAAAACCCGTTTGCAATTGCAAAGCAAAAAATCCCTCTAATTTATCACGCAGTGGTCTTATTAATGATGACCATGTAGTCACACTGCTAATATCTGTCATTAATAACAGAGTTTTTGTCACAGCTGACTTAGTTTATCGATCATGTATCTGTATGGCGTAAGTCACTATAAGTCTAGATAATGGCAAAAAGATAAATAACTTGGTGCATATGGTCTACTGATGAATGTAGCTAAAAGCTAATGTAGCTAATAAGCAAAAAATAACACGTGAGCGGAAGCACATTGCCTGCTCCAAGAAATCAGTGACAATGTGTCGTAGCAAAAAAAAGCAGTAGCAGTTTAAAGAAATGAATCCTCTTACAGTTCGTTATCTTCTCTCTAGCCAATGTGAGCATTTTTCGAAATAGCATCGTGTCTGATTTAATGAAAATAATTGTTCATCCACGTGATTGGCGAAGTTCTTCTATCTCAATCAAATACAGGGTGGCAAAGGGAAGATGGCAGCATGGGGGAGGGGTGGCACAGAGATGGGGACCTTACGGGGAAAGAGGGGACATGCAGCTAATGGAGTAAAGGTCATCATTGAAGATAGGGTGTGCCACAGAGGATGGGAGGTAGCAAGGGAGGGGGCGACGCAGTAAGGCGACAGTAAGGGAAGGTTGGCGACACGGGAGGACAGCGCGTCACAGCACCTACCTGCGAATCGTCCTGAGAGAAGATGGAGTCGAAGGCGAACATCTTTGGGGCGCTGGCTGCGCGCCGGTGCGCTGGCAGTGTGTGGCTGTTGGAAGGATCGTAGACTGTCACCTGCTTCTTACGATCGTCCAGCTGCATGAAGGACGCGGCGTTGTTGTCACTCTGGTGGCCGGACAAGTTGGGGCAGATTCGCAGCAGCACCTTGACCTGTGTAGAGGCAACGAGCAGGTTAAGTACCGCCGAGTACGGGGATACTTCATTCGAATAACAGGAGCGAGGTCAAATATCCTGAGATAATTATAATAAATTATGGAAAACACTGCGCGAATAATGCTCTGAATGAAATCCCGATACAAATAAGAGATCCGAGTTCACCATCAAGTAAGCAAATATTATATATACATAGATACACAAAGTAAATTGTTAAGAACAGTAAAGTACCCAAAGTACCCAGTAGTAATGAACCCTAACGCAATACTAATGACCATCATCATGATAGTACAAGGCTTCACAAATTGACTTACATACCCGGATTTAACTCAAATGATAACATATTGACAAATAACAATGACGACTTGTCACGCTTATATGCCTTGCTTGTTAAACTAGATATATTTCACCTAAAATCTATCGTGGTATAGACTTGGCCGATTAAAGAAGATAGGCCTATTTTAGTTTTGTTTTTTATTAGTTAATATTTTATGGTGATTGCCAGCACGGTTTCTTGTACACCCGCGGTAATTAAACTCTGACATTAACAACCCACACAGAATTTCAGATGATATATATGCGCTTAATCAATATGACTCGAGGAAAACAGCTATAAAATAGCTTCGGAGTTGCGCAGAAGAAAATCAAGCTTCAGCGCCAACCTCTGAGATATGGCCCTATTTATAAACACAAGGCTCTATAATCTCAAGCGTCATTGCCGATCAGAGCAATAACTAAGCCTTGTCATCGCGAGGCAGCCAGCGCCGCTGGGCGTGAGACACATACACGTACGCACGCACACACACATGTGCGCGCGACCACACACACATACATACACACACACACACGCACACGCGCGCGCGCGCACAAGCACACGCACACGCACACGCACACGCACACGCACACGCACGCACGCACGCACGCACGCACGCACACACAGACACACACATGCACGCACGCACGCACGCACGCACGCACGCACGCACACACGCACGCACGCACGCGCGCGCGCGCACGCACACACATACCCACATCTACGACCAGGTCTGTATACTACGCAGACGCGAGATAGTTAAAATTTCTTGCGATGATCGTAACTCTTGCAAACTTCGGACGTGATTTACGGGCGCGGACTCGCGCAGTCGTCGGCGATTAGCACAGCGAGCAGAATGAGCGCCGACGATTTACGATCAGCGAAACCTCGAATTGCACCTGAAATCCACGCTCCACTCATGGCTGCGCTTTTATGGCTGGCTTGGTCGGCTGGGCTGGGCTGGCGACATTAGCCAGCTGCCCCATAGGGAAGATCAGCATACTCGCAGCTGTGCGTGTATCTCAAGGACCGACCCAACAGCAACGTAAATCTCGCGCGACAAAAGAAGCGGACAGTTAGGAATCATAAACGGAGCTGCCTAGTACGGATCAGGAGATATTGCGGCGTAAATGTTGATGTCGTCGCACTTGCGCACAAAGGAATCGGGTTATAATGGCCAGGATGTGAAAGAGGGCCGTCTAGATTTAACTCCTGCTAACATTGTGCGCGAGTATAAATTTGTACCGGCAATTTTGTGGCACCATAAAATTAAGATGAGCTAAATCAAAGTTCGTCACTAAAAGTCAGCAGTAACGTACACACGGAATAAATAAAGCAACGCTACGCAACGCATGACCAGCCGGCAGTATCCTTATCACCAGTAAACTGTCAACCCTCATTCTAGAAAACCAAACAAGTGAACATCAATAACTCTATTTTAAGACTTCGGCATCACATCCCGGATTTTTCTCATAATTCAATTTTAAACTGAAATCGAAGTCAAGCCCCGCCCACTTCAGGAGCCGTGTAACTGGCCATACGATAACGAAACCATGTGTAGCTATAGCATAGAGTTATAGGTTAGGACGTACGCATCCGTGTTTACTTATGACTCAAACAGCGCTTCGTCTGCACACAAACATCCTGTAACGCTGTAAACACGCTTCTTATACGAAGTGAAGCCCGAGTGACACACGGATAGAAAAGTGGTGATTATTTCCAACCAGAGGGCAGCGCTTCTTTTTCGCAAAGAATTCCGGTCTATTACGAGCACCCGCTACGGATTTAAAGTTTTTTTTTTACGGATTCTGGATAGATTCGTGCCTCTGGGCTGTTAATTTATTTCGGCCATTATCGGCCATCGTCTTGTAAGCTTGTATCCGGATTTTGTTCGACGTTGGCAAAAAAAGGGTGTAAAAATGTTTACTTTTATACAGATCAGACTAAATGTTTATGTATACGAGTGCTGTCACTTTACCACTCATATGTATAAACAAAAGACATGGAGTTCCGATGCCGAAGCTTTATTTGCGTAGTAAAAACAAGATCCCCCGTTTGAGAGTAACCTTGCACCAGCCGTGCGTTATTAACGTTACTACAAATTATTACATAATTACATAATGAGGCGGGTACAATTACTGCATCCACTGGATAAATAAGCTTCACAAATTGAGTACTTGCAGGAATCACACTGTTCGCTCTTTGAGTTCATTGATCTAGGATTAAAAGACAGGATGAAGCATATATCTAGGTATATGAGTACCTCGGCTTACTATTCACAACTCGATGACAAGATGATCAGGCCATCATTGTTTTTACAGCTATACCTCCAAGGCTGGCGTGGGACGGAATATCAAAACATACACACTGGATACAGTTTCAGTTATATATAGCCGCGGCAGAGGGCTCGGCTGAGACCTCCATGGATGCTCATGTATTACTAACTTGCGTGTATAAGCACGAGCGAGTAATACTGTTTTTCTTGGGCAGTCACGGCAGCTGGGATTAAGCCCCATCATAAAAACTCAGCGATTGGGCGTTGGGAAAAAAAACGACGATGCGAATGCTGCCAGTGCCAGGGAAGCTGCGAGATAGTACCAGAATTGCAGTGCTTTAGAGATTCATCCACTATCGTACTGCATGCTTGCCTGTGCATCATTGCTAAAGTGATTTTGTCCAATACGCCTTCCATTAATCACGCTGCCTCTCTAGATCTCTCTTTCTCTCTCTTTCTCTCTCTCTCTCTTTCTCTCTCTCGCTCTTCTCGGTCTGCTCTCTCCTCTCTCTCTCTCTCATCTTGTATTGTGTGTGTGTGTGTGTGTGTGTGTGTGTGTGTGTGTGTGTGTGTCGTGCGTGCGTGCGTGCGTGCGTGCGTGCGTGTGTGTGTGTGTGTGTGTGTGTGCATGTGTGTGTGTGTGTGTGTGTATGTGTCGTTTCTGTATGTTTGTGAAAGGTGCCCTTTCTCTATTATATGCGATAGACGCTATACGTTACGCGTGAGAGCATTGTTAAATCTTGCGTTACCTTGGTGCGATATTGAACCTGATACTAACGGAACTGTTTTGTTCCCCATTCGGGTTTCGGACGGGATCGTATCATTCTAGAGTATAAGTTTGTGTATACTTTTACCAATAGAGGTTACATAGAACTGCGATTTGTTATTTTACACTTGGGCTACCATTCCTCAGTTTTTTTCCGAATATAAAAAGTATTATTCAATATACTGGTTGCCTAACATCAACATCATGCTGTTGCTTGTATAAAGATCTATATGTATCCATGACTTGATACCTACACATGAATGTCAACAACCCAGCTGCGTGTCAACCAGACTAGTTCCATATGGTTACTCCCGCAAGATTCGCGCAATAAACTTACGTTAGCTAGCACTGCTGTAAATATCGATATAAACATCGATATAAAATGCAAAATTATTTAAAAAAATAATTCACGGACTCTTAAAGAATAAATAATGATTATGAAAATTAAAGAAAAGAGGCCGATTAATAAAAGTGTGCGTGTGTGTGTGTGTGTGTGTGTGTGTGTGTGTGTGTGTGTGTGTAGGGGGTGCTGTTGAGTTACACCCAATGCAATTAAGTAAATTATGGACGAAAAAATGTCTAGCGTATATCTATTGGTGGACTGAGGAACAAATGTAGGTCACAAGTGCATTCATTATGCTAGCATATTAACTACGCCAGCAATTAGTGTAACTCTTAATTACCGCTAAAGAAGCAAGCTAGTTACGAGACGCAATGGCGCCAGCCTGTTCAAAAGAGCTACTGAAAAAAAACTCACGGTTGGACTACAAACGCTTGCAGAAAAACCTAAAATGAACTTAAAATGCCCAAGTGACCGATCGGTGCCTCTTGTGCACTCGTGTATCAACATTATTAAAACACCCCCCAGCTTCCAAGCTTATACGGCAGCGGATGCGCGCAGTGAACACGATGCACGGATAGAGAGAGCGAGCCACGGCGGCTGCTCCCTCGCCGCGTGCGTGCGTGCGTGCGTGCGTGCGCGAAACACAGCCGGAGTAATGGCTCGCCAATTTAGCTGTTTTGTGTCAACCTTGGTTACTCTCACGATTATTTTCGCGTCAACCACAACAGCGGCAAGTGCAAACATTCAGTTATTCGCAGTGCTTTTTTTTCTCCTTTGGTCCATTAGCACTGCGGGTGGGATTTTCGCGGGATAGACCACGTCTTATTCACGGCTGCTGCGTCGGAAGAGAGAAGATGTCGGATGCTGTGTGCGCTTTCTCGTGCGACCTACATAGTAGAGCATGTCAGGCCCTCGGCGCGGGAATTGGAGAGCGAGTATAGTACGCGAGAATCCTCGCTTCGTGAGTGAAAACGCGTGCACACGTTAGTCTCCCCCGGCGGCTTATACCCGCGGTGCCATTCCTGCGATCTTTGGCACCATAACACCTCGCAATTATTTGGGGGTGGGGAGCGAACCCCAAGTGTAAACGTGTCACATAAGCTGTCACAGTTATCGGCGTTATAACCGACTATATAGCTGTCACTGGCTGTAAGATTGAATCAGTCGTGTGGCTGGATAACTAAATAACCTAACTACACTTTACAATACAAACGCCACGTAATGATAATGATACGAGGCGACATATTCCACACAGCAATCAACAGTCGGCTGATGGCCACGGTCATGGTCATGTCTCATG